CATTGTTTACTGTTGTTTACTTTACGGAAGAAAAAGCGAGGATTCGGCTATAACCACACAAACACACCGCTACACCCCCTAGCGGCATGGCGGTGAATTGCAGAGCAWCGCGTTCCCTMGACGCAGAACTWCGAATGCTCAACGACYKACGGCGTAGGTACGGCGTAGACGTGACGCAGAAGCATAAACTAGGCTTTACTCACCTCTGACCCTGCTTTCATGTGTAGAGTGTGCCTCTCTATGCGAGGGCCAGTCCATGCACTAGATCAGGCATTTAAGCACACCTTTTATAAAAGGCATACTGTCTTACTGCCACGTTTCTAGCCAATTGGAGTGCAGATTTTTGCAAAAAAAGAACAAAAAAAATTACAGTATCAACAGAATACACCATTCAAAAGCAGACTCCTCGACCTCTTTGGGTCACTAACACTTAAGGAGGGGAAGTCAGCTATAGTTTCCTTTAAAGCAGTTCAATGGGAATCCCACCGTTTGTTCTGCATTTCCTAAACTGCTAAAAAAAAAGGCTGACGTTGTACACCGACTGTCAGTGGAGTGTGGAACAGCTGAATGCTTCCTGAGCCAGCCACCAGTTGGCGACAGCTAGCCAGTGTGTGTGTGTGTGTGTATGTGTGTGTGTGCTGGATATTGGGAAGTACCAGAATATTTACATCTAAACGAGTGGCGGCAAACTGGAAAATAATGCTACTTGTTTAATTTATGGACATAAAATGGACAGTAACGCGCTCGTCTCCTTTGTGTCTTTGCTGTGTTTTGGTACAACAACACTGTCCATTCCAGGAAGACAGAGACTCTAAAAAACAGCTCACACACCGGAGGCTTTGGCTCCTATGCTTTTCTGGAACCAGGTGAAAAGCTGTGTGACCGGGTGGCCTGCAGAGATGTCTGGGTATTTCTGAGAGAGCACGAGGGTCTATCACTGCACATATAAAGACCAAAGCATATAAGAGGTCTGACTGCACACAAGTTTTTAAAAAAACAATCAACAAAAACATCGACAACAAAAATAAGATTTAACATCATGTTTAACAAAACAAAACAAGACAAGAATCCGCCTACTATGTTTCACTGTCTTTCTTTTTTCAAGGTAAGGCTTCCTATTTTAATTAAAAGATTGTGTGCATGTTTGAATATATTCAGTTTTGATTCGCAGTCTGACAAAGCAAGGTATTCCTGATTTGTCTTTCCTCGTTGTTCTTGTACTCCCCGTCTCTCCTCCTGCACTTGATGAGGAGGTGGAGACTCCTGCGTCTGTGTGATGCCACGTTTGCCGACTGTGTAGGCCTGACACGAAGCAGCATGGCACTGTCGTGGTCCATGTACACACCCCGAGCAAGAAACCCTTCAGACTTGCTCCCATACACAGCCAGCTGGAAGGGGTGGGGAGACGAGCCCAAATAAAAGGGGACGAAATGTCAACATAGAAAAACAGGAACCCCACAGGACCCTCTCTGTTTCTTTCACCCGCTCTTCCTGGTACCCCCCCGAGGCACCGGAGAGGGTTAACAGGAGTATTGTACATTGAGAGTACAGCAAGAATCAGCTCTGGCCGAGTGTCTCCTTTTTCAGTTCCTGGCTGCTCATCTACTCATGTACGGTGACTGCTTTGGGACACCAGCATAGCTGTGATGGGAGGGGCCGGTGTACATCATGTTGCCGTGGTGATTGGGCTGCATAGGCTGCTGTGGGTAACCCTGCCCTCCCATCATGCCCATCTGCATCTGCATGGGGTACTGAGCTGGCTGGTTCATGTAAGGGGGATTGCCGTGATAACCACTGTTCATCATGGGTTGGGGCATTCGGTAGCCGGCAGACATGGCGTTCAGGGGTGTCATGTTCATGGAATTGTACGGTGCCGGTGTGGGCATGAGATTTGGCATCATGCCACGCTGCACGGCCAAGGTGCGTGGCGTGCCCTGCATGGCCACGGCCCCTGAGCTGCGGCCATAGAGCTGCTGCTGGTGTGGGGCTGGGGCAAGCTGCTGGGTGGCTTTGGACCGTATGGAAATGTGGCCTTTGACTGTAGCCATCTGGCCCTGTAGCCTCTGAGTGTGTGGTGGGGGCCCCAGGCCAATGTTGGTGGTGGGCATGTTGCACTGCAGCTGCAAGGAGCCTAGATTCATGGAGCCAGAGCTAAGGTTGGGAGGTGGCGTCATAGTTGGCTGGCCCTGAGGGAGAGGAGTGTGGGGTGAAGGGGCCAGCCCCGGGTTGGACAGAGAAACACTTGTGGCATAGGAGGTGACTGAGGCTGAGTGAGAGTAGGGCATGGCATGGGGGTCCATGATGGTGTTGGTGAGCTGCTGGAGTTTGGCCAAGCTGAATGTTGCAGAGGGTTGTGGGTAGCCTCCTGTGCCAAAATCCTGGCCCATGCGCTCATAGAGGGCGCGGCCTCCTCCTCCACCTCCACTCTCTGGTATCTCCATGATCATGGGCGTGGAGGCAAAGCCGTTACCCATGCTACACTGGGACAAGGCCTGCTGCTGTTGCTGTGGTGGTGGTGGCGGTGCTGAGGGTGGAGGCTGAGGGTTGGGGGCTTGCTGCTGTGTAGGCTGCTGAGGAACCTTTTTTTGGGACTGCTGCTGCTGCTGCTGGTTGGTGCTGGGAGGCCTTTCAATAACACCACAGCTCTGAGGAGACTTAATGCCACAGCTGGGGGTGTTGGATGGTGGTGGGGGTTGGGGCACACCGCTGCCTACGTTACTGGCCCCTGGCCCACTGTTGGGCCCTGGTCCTGTTTGCTGAATGAGGCTACAGCTGCCCATCGCTAGCTGGGCTCCTCCGGTACCTGTGGGTGATGTGAGGGTGGGGGCTGGCACAAAGGAGCAGCTGTTGGACTGGGAGGAGGAGGATGGTGTTGCCGAGCTGGAAGAAGAGGAGGCTGAAGACGAAGAAGCTGTGGAAGCTCCTGCAACAACAGCAGCTGACATTCCTCCTCCGTTTCCCCCATTCCCTGTTCCATTACCCCCTCCACCCATGGTGGAGTCATAGCTGCTGGGGTTGTCATAGTTCTCTGTGGTGCTCTCTATGCTGCCCAAGTCACTGAAGCCGCTGTCAACCACCTGCTGCGAGTGGTCCGATACAGATGGCACGTCCATCATCGGCGACGTCTCCATGTTCTGCTGGGATGGAGCAGACAGAGAGCTAGGATGCTCCGGTGTAATTTGGGTGTAACCTGTTCCAGCACCTCCACCATTGCCCCCTGCTCCCGGAGGGATAGGTGTCCCTCCCCTCTGCCCAGCTGATGTTGTGTCCATGATACCTGAGGGCAAACCCGGACTGTTCACCGAGCGCACAGACTGACTGGGTAGGGGTGGTACAGGGGGATTGGGGAGGGGACTGCTGTGCTGGGGGGCCCCACACTCTTCCACTAAGGCCAGGGCCTCCTCCTCCGTCTCCCCTGTGTGGCTGTAACTCTGCAGGGTTCGGCAGGCAGCTAGAGTCTCCTCACAGTCCTGGTAAGCCCCGTGGTGTGGTTGGGGCTCAGTCTCTTCGTCCTGGGCTTCCCCCTGCGTGAGGGACTGGACGGCCTGCATAGTCTCCAGGTCCAGCTCGTTAGAGTGGTGGTGGGGGTGGTGTGGGTGATGGTGGCTCAGCTCCTCTTTGAAGTCAGACTGCTGGTGAGGGTGGGAGTGTGGGTGTGTGTGCTGGGGTTCCATCAAAAGCGTGACCACCTTGTCGTCCGGGTGCAGAGGCTGGAGCTCCATGGGCTCAGAGGGAACAGACATAGCTGTGACTGTCTCCACTGCCGCAGCAGCCGCAGCAGACTCCTCCTGCTCTCTGCGCCGCCGCTCCTCCTGCTGCGGGTCAGCTGAGGAGGGCCGACACTCTTCAGCCTCCTCCTCCTCCTCTTCTTCTTCCTCCTCCTGCTTGCTGACATAGTCCCGGGCTACGCTGTTCTCCATGTCTAAAAAAGCCTCTCCACCTTGGGGTTCTTCTTTGACTGGAGGAGAGCTTGACCTGGAGGCAGGCTCCTCCTCCTCGTCTTCATCATCGTCGTCATCTTCCGAGTCCTGACTCTTTCTTTTCTTATTGCTGTTGTTGCTGCTGTTGCTCTTTTCCTCCAAGTGTCCATCACCTTCATCGTCTGCATCGTGGTCTTCACTGCGCCTGCTTCCTGAACCTGGTGTGACTGCTGTTCGTCTGTTGATGCTAACGCTGCCTATGCTGCCACACTCTTCTTCCTCCCTCTCATCATCATCATCATCTTCTTCCCTGTCGCCCATATCTGTGTCCTGAGGCCGGGACTGTGGGGCCCTGGGCCCTGATGTGGAAGAGGAGGATGAAGGGGACAGCAGGGGACGGGACGGTGGACGGCTCGGTTTGTCCTCCTCCCAGGCTCTTTCATTCTCCTCCTCTTCGTCCTCCTCCTCTTCCTCCTCTGGCTCTGAGGTGGGAGGGGGTTTAGGGGCAGGCTGTGGCGGCTGGCAGAGGGCACGGTTCTTGGGAGGTCTCCCTCGCCTCTTGGGCACCTTCTGCTCAACAGGCTTAGGTAGATAGTCGTCCTCTTCGTCTGAGTCTTTGTGTTTGTTGTCTCTGTCAGTGCTGGTTAAGCAGACTCTCTTGCTGTTACGATCGTCTTTCTGGAGCAGCTGAGGGTCTTTGTCAAGCTGCTGCTCCAACAGTCTTTGTCTTTCCTGCTCCTGCCTCTCGGCCTCTTCCTGGGCTCGCTGCAGGTACCAGCTGCGGGGCTTTCGGCCAGGCTTCATCTTGATTTTAGGGGGTGGGGGATCCCCGCTTAAGGCCTGGTTATCTGCAGCTCCTCTCTGGCTGGGCCCTCCACAAGGTGGTTTACCAGGTCCCCGTTTCTTCCAGTGCAGTGGCTTGCGGCTTTTTCCTTTGGGCCAGCCTTTCTTCTTCTTCACTGGGACCTCAGAGTTGGCTGCTAGAGTCTTTGATGGAGTTGCTGGCAGAGCAGCCACAGGCTTCAGCACAGGTGTCAGATCTGAGAAGAGATAAGAAGATACCAAATTGTTATTGTATACAGATTCTGGATTATTCAGATTATATTATGTGTTACTTTTCATTGTAGGTCTAAAACACATTTTCATTCTTCCCATTTTTTTAAATAGCTGATTTTACCCACTTCTAGAGTTTACAAGGTTCCTTGAATTCGATTCAAGTTTTTACAACAATCTATGACATGAAGTGGGAGGGGCTAGCCTGGAAGGACCGACATCAAAACCATCTCTGCTCACCGTCTTCCTCTGAATCTGAGAGGTTGGAGTGCCGGCCTCTTTTGGGTGCTGGGTCTGACAACCTCAATGTAGAGCGAGCTGGGGGGTAACGGCGCAGTGGGTGGCCCAGTGGTGTCTCCTCCTCTAACCTGGGCATAGGCCTCTCTGAGTCTGAGTCTACAAAAGGCTCGTCCAGAACCTCCGTGGTCTCAGAGATGGTCTCTGTCACCACGCTGCTGTGAGGATGGCTGCGCTGGCGAAAGCGGCGTTTCCTCAGGGGCTTCTGGGTAGAAATGGGGAGGAAAAATAAATATGCCTTTGAATTTAGTTGCAAACGTTGCTATAGATGTACATTAACTGGAAGTGAGATTCAGTTAAGATTTTAATTCTGAGACTTTATAACAGTATCAATAATGTTAACATCGATTCTTACCTTGCATTTGAGCCCCATAGCAGGCTTAGTGAGGATGGGTGGGGAGCATGCCCTCCTGTCATCGTCATCTTCATCGTCGTCGTCGTCCTCTTCACTGCTTTCACTGAAGCAGCTCTTCCTGACAGGTGGCGATTCATTTAACCTGGAAACCAAAGGAAGCTGTGGCAGCCCCTCACCAGGCCCTTCACTTAGTCTGGGCTTTGGGCCTGTCTTTTTCCGCGGGGGCCGTCCTCTTCGTGTGGGGGTTATGGAGGGGTGTCGGGCCATGTCCAGTGAGTGAAAGGCTGTAGACTCTTGTCTGTCCAGGGAGAAAAGGGAGGGGGGGCCGGTGGCAGAGCTAGTGGCCTTTCCTCCCTCTGTTCTCTCATCTTCATCGTCATCATCCTCCACAGGGCGAATCTTAGGTGGCCTTCCAACCCTTGTGCTGTCCTTCACCTTGCCCCAAGGCCAGTTTTTGGGTGGGCGTCCCCGTGGTCTGCGTTCTCCATTTGTTGGCGGAGGGGGTCGTGGTGGTTCTTGGACAGGGGGTGGACAGCGGATGGGAGGGGAAGTTGGAGAGCTTTGGCTAAGGGGAAACCCCAAAAAGTCCTTCCTTTCCTCTTCTTCATCGTCATCCTCCTCCTCTTCATCCCTTTTCTTCCGTTGGCGCATGTGCCAGGACATTGGGGGGACCTTGTGAATTGGTTTGATGTGCTTATGGGTAAAGTAAAATAATACATAAGATATTAATAAGAACAAGTGCATCAATCTGTAATCTCGATTTAAAACAAATAAATGAATTGCACTTACCTCCTTGTGGTTGTCTTTCTTGGGTTCTTCATCCTCCTCGTCATCATCATCATCTCCATCAGCGTCAGAGACCACGGTGTTGGTTACAATAACGGGAGTCCAGCGCAGACACTCGGGGTCAACCTCAAGCTGCCGCGGCCGAGCCTTGAGACGAGTCATGTGATTCGTCACCAGCTTGTCCCTTCGCACCAGGACGAGTCTGAAAAACACGGACAAAAAGAGAGAAGCATGAGAACTAAGTGTGCATGTTTCACTACATACAAGTGCAGTAAACCAAATGAATGAGGGTGTACATCAGTATGTGTTTGATAACATCCACAACACTGTGTTAATGTTGTTGTGTATGTGTATGTAGACACAGTTCTGCTCATAAATTGCCATGTAAGGCATCACAGAATAGCACAATCATAACTGAGGTGCTAGTTGGTATAATGCAAGTCAGGTATCCTTGAAGTGTTGGTGCAGTAAGAGTTTTTCTCGTAACCTGAGGAAGACACAGGACTTCCTTAATGGGCATCTTGAAATCACCACGTCACTTATTTGCAGAGAAGCACGTATTTCAGCTAAAGATGCTTCTAGACTGAAACAAAATAAAACGTGTATGTTGCTGTGCTCTACGTAAGTCCTGCCTCGCTTTTAACGTCAAACCCACTCCTTCACAGGAATAAATATTTGGACTTTGCAAAGTCTTTGTTCCATACCAAAAATCTACCAATTACATTAGAAGTCTGGTCAGTGTATGTGTTGTTTAAAACAGAGCTTCATTCTATCACCATTAAGTGACATGTTGCACACTTTCAGATGCTACTGCTGACCTTTGTCTTTGCTCACATCAGTGTTATGAGTGTAAGGTCAATAATGAATGTGCAGTTCGTTGAGAATATTAAAACGCTGCGCAATCTGAGAGGAAGTTCCTTCTACATGAGACAACACAGTCAATCACTGTGTCTTTGACTCATTTATGGAACTGAGGTGTATCTCGGAGTGTTTGCTGTGTTCTGACCTCTCTTCTCGCTGCTCCAGCATGTTGAGGCTGTGCAGAGTGGTGGTGATGTCCTGCGGGCAGATCCCTGTCAGTTTGCTGAGCTGTCGTATGGCGATCTGCCGGTCGCGGACATCGTGGAGACACTCCAGCACCACGCTGCGCCAGTAGGCCATGTAGGACAGTCGACCTAAGTCCGACAAAGGCTTCTCTGGAGAGCCAGGCTGTCCCTCACGCTTTGACAATAAGTAGCCTGTTATAACACATCATATTAAATGTTATACAACACTATTTTTGCTTTTTGTTTCTTTAACAAGACATTTTCTCAGTTGTTGGTCTTATCAGTGTTTTCTGTGTTATGTTTCGAGCTGACAGCCTTACTGAAGTCGATGAGAAAGCGTCCATAGCCCCTGCGCTGGTACTGTGGAAGAATCATGATGCATGATACATTGTATTTCTGTTGACAGTGCTTCTCCTGGAAAAGAGAAAAGGACAAAGAGACATTCTACCATTAGATTAAATAAATCAAGGCTCCACAAAACAGAGCTATGTGGGTGTACAGCAGAGCTGTTACCACATCCGCTCACTCACTGCTGTATTTTGGCAGTGTGGCAACATGTTAATTAGAGCACCTGCGACTGAAAACTCCACAGAGGGGCAGGGGAGCTCACAGCAGGTGAGTAGGTTTGTAGGTTTGTTGGAATGGGCCAGAGTGGGATGATACCAATGCATTTCAATCATTTCCTCTTCATTTTGGTTCATTAAGCTGTTTTGGTTTGTGCTGGGCGATTATGATTTACAGAGTGACTGTATGTATCTCATCAAAATGAAAATGGATAAGACACTAAAAATGCAAAATTCATTAGGAATGTAACATCACTCGGAGGCTGTGGAGGTTGAATCCAGCACAGGAATGATGTCAAGTATGGCTGGGTGATATGACTACAAATCAGTATCACCATTATTTCAAACTTTTACCGATTATTTTATGTTTTTGTTTTTTACTTTGCCCTCATATTTGTAATACAGACAAGGTCTGTATTAGAAATATGCAGAACTATAAAAGCTGGGACATTTTTTCTCATGAAGTACATATTTTATTTCTACTTTATTGATGACTCAATGTAGCATTTTGTTACATTGTAATGTGACATTAAGTGTTTCCTCTAGGATCTTTTTAGCAGCATGAAAAGTATTCAACAAAGTAACCTACATGAGCAAGATTAGGTCAGAGAAGGGTTATAAATGTCGATTTTAGGTTAACCAATTTTCTATTAATTGCTAAACCCTAATGTCTAGCATCGCAAACAAACCTTTGAAAAGTAGCCGACGAGGTGGCAGCCTTTGCCGTCGTTCTGTGTCAGGACGTAGAAGAGGAAGGGCTCAACATCGTAGTAGAGGGTCTTGTGGTCCAGGAACAGCTTGGCCAGCAGACAAAGGTTCTGACAGTAGATCGTGCTCACATTCCCATCAACCTGTTGTGGGATCAGTGACATGACACATGAGTGCAACACCAACAGACAGTTTCCTAAATGAAAGAATCACAGGAACAGTCCAGAAGTACATCTTTAATGTGCTGTTTGAGAGCTGAGGAGCATGAGTGAAAGTGAATGGAACAGAAGTCAGTGTCAAGCAATGATCTCAGCGGAGTCTCTAGAGGCTGACAGATAGATGGGGCAGTGGAGAAAAACAAAGAGCTGTAAAGAGAAAAAGGAAGGAGGTTCAGATTGGCAGCTCGCCAGCTATCTATGCTCTCGTCAGAGCCAGGACGGACTGCAGAGTGAGGAAACAGAAGCTGCAGTGGCCATGGCCTGCAGGCAACAATCCACTGAAACTGCTGCTGTGCTACAAGACCCATAAGAAGAGCTTAACTGGAAATCAGTAATTATGAACTCTCCCAATCGTCCTACCTGTGGGATGTAGAGATGCTGATTTAACATCACAAGATACTGGACTAATAAAAGAACTGTCTGTTCATTTGGAAGGAAGCAAAGAACTGGTGTCAACATTTAATCTCTGATCTCTAATTATCTGTGATAATATTTAGGAGGTCTTGGTACATATATAATGAAAGATTAATTGCTCTGAGGTGACTACCACGGCAAAAATTAAAACACTTGGTGTAGCAGCATCAACAGAGGTCTGTTCTTTTGTTTGTTTCAGTGCCATCCATCTTTATGAACTCACATTATATCTTCTGTTTTCTGTTCAACTATTACCATGCAACCTTCCGATATACTGAACAGTGAACTCACCTCAAATACAGAGACATCATCCTTCCTGTAGATCTCGTTGGCAGGGGGGTGGAACCAGTTGCACTTCTTCATGTGCTGGTAGAGGATGCTGCGACTCTTCATGTAGCGCAGGCAGAACTCGCACAGGTACAGCTTGGGTAGTCTGGCAAGGTAAAGAAGGGAGAAAAATGAACGAGGAGTGTGGTGCAATCGTGAAAACTCCCAGTTTGAACTGAAATAAATAGCTGAATAAGTAAGTGATTAACAAAACATGTATCAGGAACTATTTTGCCAATTAAATAATTCTTTATCAATTCCAGTTTCTTCTGTTACAGCTACATACTGTATGTTCTGACGGCAGTTGTGAGGTAACATGTCAGCAATTTGGATAAATATTTCACACTGAAAGGTCCCAAAAGTACATATACCATGTACCGTGTATGCAAAGCTTCAGTATTGAGCTATTTAGAGTAACTGATGTGTTTTCTTAGATTTATTTATTCTTTTTCAGGAATGATTGTTAGACTAGATAATAAAATAAGTTCTATGCTATTCATTCTCTTTATGCATTTGTTTTTTAACGGGTATAACCTGAGTCAGGTCATACAACATTGATAGCAATAATCACTTCCATACAATCTCAGTAGCTTACTACAGCTAAATGTGTAATTTCAGTTGTTATTTTTAAAATTGCAATGTATCAGATTGATACTTGGTATCGGCCAGGTCCAGTTTGGAAGGGAAGAATGGTATCGTAACAGACAAAAATGTTTGCAGTTTTTCTTGGTGGTCTATGACAGTTTTAGTGATTAAGTCAGAGTTATGGGCTGTTGCCCAGAAAAAAGGCAACAGGAATGATGTGTTTTTACTTCACTCTGACATTTTATGGACCAAATGATTGATTGGTTATTTGAAGAAAATAATTGGCAGATACATTTCTGCAACCCTTGTACATGGAACTTATGACACTCGACATTTTAAGGATTATTATTTATATTGTTGCTCAGAAAGAGTCTGTAATTGTTTCTCCCATGCTAATATTCTCATATGAATTTTCACATACCTAATGACATCAGACTTGGTAAGAATAGTGTTATATCCAGCAGTTACATAAAAATACTGCACTCTGAGCAAATCAAAATCTCCTTGGCTCCTCGTCTCTGACTGAGTACTAACCGAAATGGGTGTTACTGTAAACAACCTTCTAATTGAGCTTACTAGTGGTAAGCTATATGCCTACAAGCAGGACTGTGAACTAAACACATTACTGCTAGTGTTCTTAATTATGGTGCTTTAGCTTACCTGCTGTACTCCTGGGGGTAGGGAGATGAATACCACGTCTGGATTTCAAACTTGCCAAATTCAATAACTGACGGACACCGCATCTGAGGATCTGGTGGACCTGTCACCCCGACTTTCTGTTGGGGGTGAACAAAAAAGATGGAGGAAGAAAGGGAGAGACAGAGACATTGGAAGGTCAATTCTAGGTTTACTACAATATTGACCAGGCAGATCAGGAACTGCTCCAGCGTGATAGGAAGGAAGTACACTGGAGCTGTTTTCAGAGGTTCCGCACAATGGGAGTCCAGGCTTTCTCTGGAGGTTGCCTTTCATACATGAACAACGCAGCAGGAGATTCTCAGCTCAGATGCGTTCACAACAACACAGACATTTACAGAGGATTCAGTTAAGGGGTGTCATGAATGGGCAGAATGTAACATTTCAATTCCACTGCAGAGATCACACGTTTTTGTTTGCAGCATATCGATAGCGGCAACACATCAAAACAACAGATCGCGGTGAATCCTGGTTTCTCACTTCTCACAGAGTTTTTAACTATGGGGCTGGCTGGAAAAACTCAACAAAAGTCTGGAGCTTTTTATTTTTTTTTTTTATCTCTTTCCGGTGTTTTCTCTCTGACTGTTTTTATCGCTCTCTCTTTGCATGATTCTTCTCTTTATCGTGCGCCGGACGCAC